TTACGGTACTTAATGCCACTGTGCAATGTAACACTCCCATTTCACTATTTATGTTATGAGTCCCATACTAGGGGTTGAGCCTATTGCCATAAACCGGACATAATTCCAGGCTACTACTGAGATTTTTTTTTAAAACCCATAAGTACTTTGCCCGACTCAGGAATCAAACCCGAGACCTCTTGCACTGCAGTTGCACTTGCGACCACTCAGCCTACGGCAGTAATATTGATATTAATATTATATTCCACATTTGTACACCAGTAATGGTCAACCATGTTTATACTATGCTCACTGCTCATACAACCTATAATATGCCTATTATTGGAATCAAGTATAACAGCTCATACATAGGACCCACTTAGTTTTTAGTCAATTTCACTTCACCTTCACCCAGTTGTACAGTCTCTTTTTTGTGCCTTTAGGCTTAATTCATTCTGTCTCCTGAAGTAATTCAGAAGGAAACTATCGTTTTTTTCTACTCCTTTTATAATATCTTCTGATTCACTTCGTTGCGGAAACCAAGACCGTTATTCATGTCCCTAGGACGCGCCGGATTTCAGTGTTCCGGTGTTTTCATGTTGTATCTACTGTAGATCCTGGCTTACAGGAGTTGCAGCGGTTATGGGAGGTTATGGCGGGCGTGGCCCATATTGCATATTGCATTCTATGATGTATTGTTATTCCAAACGTGTTTTTGCAAATGAATTGCAAAAAAATATGTGTTTTTGTAAATATATAATATATGTCGTTATTTTTGTATTGTAACTTTCGTGAGACATACTAAATAAATTGTTATGTTTTCGGCTTACTCACTTAGAGGCTCATATTCATGAGCAGCGTCGGGGGTCGCGAAATGCTGCTCATGAATATGAGCCTCTAGCATGGCTTGAAACTAGTCGAGTTCCTCGTTAAATGATTACGTGAGTAAGCCGAAAACATAATAATTTATGTGTTTGTCTTTACTAGAAACTGTTCTTAAAAACTTTGATCTATTTCTCCTTAATGCTTATCAAGGAGAAGACTCACCAGTTCATTGCGTGACTAATTAACTTATAAACAATAATTGTGAGTAAAATGAATAGTGATAGTGTAATCAGTGGATTATTTAATGTGAAAGTAATTTAAAGATCGACTCTTTACAATATATACAAGACTTTCATCGTAGCTTTGTTTATTGAAATAAAACAATATGGAATGTTAAAAAAAATATATTTCGGTAACATAGAATTTTTATAACAGTTAACACTAACAAATTTTAATAGTGCTGTTAATTATACCTCTATAGAAAGAAAGAAAGAAAAATGGTTGATTTGCACACCGCCACAAAGTACATACAATAATATAGATATAGTTTAATATATCACTATATTAACCTTTATTTTAATTATTATTAACTATTACTAAATGAAAATGTATACAACTTAAAATATAAATGACTATGAACTAAAATATTTACACCTTAAAAAATATATTAAACTATATGTAATGATAAATTAAGACATAACACATCTATCTGTATATTAAACTAATTATACAGGTATTATATAGGTATTTGATATCTCTGGAAGCTTCCCTAACAAAAAATTTACACACACACACATTTAATAATAGTTTTGTTTGCGAATAATGTAGATTATTAAATGTAGGTTAATTTTTTGGTAAAAAAAACTTTTAATAAATAACAATACAATTTCTTACCCATCTTTGAACAGATAACTCTCCAAATTAAATTTTATGACAATTACAACAGTAGTTTGTACGAGAAAGCGTAACAAACCTACAGAGTTACTTTCGCATTAATTTTATTAGTATGGACCGTTTTTATAATTTGTTTACCAAACTAATAACAACGATAATGACGACTTTTACTCTATTTATATTAATGTTATACAATTAGCTTCCTGCGGCTTCACGTGGTCATTTTTCGACCTTGCTATAGAATGTATTTTAACAGTCTCCCCAATCCCCGAATTCTCTACAATCCTCAACTCTTAATTTCCAAAAGATCGGTAATGCACTCGTAACCTTGCCGCCTTGGTGTTTCAGGTGTCCATGGGCGGAGTTGATTGCTTACCAACAAGTGATCCGTCTGCTTGTTTACCGGCTTACCTATGCTATAAAAAAACATCATCGTGAAATACAAACAAGAAAGTTGCATACAACAACATAGGTATATTATTATATGTGAAACTTTACATGCTCCTTAATTTTAGATGTACTATGTACACTTGGGAGGAAACAAATGAAGCCACTAGCGTTTCTTTCATGTCATCGAACCCTTTATAACTTTAAAAAAGTATTATTAATCATTTTACAACAATACGCTCTCATTTTAAAGGTAACTAAATTGCCGTTTATACGACATACGTTATCAATTAAGAAAATACTTGCATCAGAAAAAAAAAATCAATAAATTAAAAATAAAAAAGAAAACGCTTGGCTCCGTTTCCATCAGATCTATTTTCCACCAGTTCTATTACATTTTCTAGGAAACAAGGGGCGACTTTATCTGGTAATAATACCCAAGAGCAGAAAAATATTGTCCTCGCTTGTTACTCTCGCAGACGTAAAGACATTTACGTACGATAATTACACTGAAATACTCAAACATCACTCAATTATTAGTAGCGGTTAAGTTAGTTCTGTTTTTCTGTAATGTATGACAGAGATAGCACGACATTTAAGTAAAATTTACAATTGAGTAGCCTTTCAGTATTCGGGCGTTAATTTATTATTTTATATTATTGTAAACAAACACACTATTAAGAGGGTCTCAGATAACTCAAAATAATATATTATTGTGAAATTATCGTATCTTGTTATGTCATCATAAGGTCAACCGTGAAATGTTAATACTTACTTCATGGCTTAAAAAGAAAATATTAACTAAATATCAAACTATTTATAGATTTTACTAATCGAAACAGACAAACAATATATGTTTTTGTTTTATACACTATTACAGCGAAATGCTTTTTTTTAAGAAACATATCGTTTTGCAGTTCGCAGCCGAAGTATCAAATACCATTCTAAATCAACCACTACTATACAAAACTTTTGAATTGACAATTACTTTTATTTATTAACTAGCTTCTGCCCGCGACTTAGAATGTGCAATCCCGTTTCCTCCCGTGCCCGTAAGATTTTCACAATTTTTTCTGTCATTAGCAGTTTTTACTGACAATAACAAATACAACAAAATAAAAATCAGCCAAATTGGTCAAGCCGTTCTCAAGTTATGGCGTGACAACGGGAAACGGATGTCATTTATATATATATATATATATAGATAGATATCGTAATTGAATCGAAAATCAATCACTCCTTGACTTGACTTTAAGTCTGCCGGTTTATCCCTCCTACCATACGCAGGTCACCAATTACGCAACCTCAAATTGATGTTCAGGGAATGCAAAGAAGGATACCAAATATAACCCCAAAAACAATCGGTATAATCAAGTGAATATTGAGTTAATGGTGTGCTACGTGCATTTGTCGACATGGATAGAACTACATGATGTAGCTCTCATAATTGGATTTTCGGAGCAGCGTTTTGCCCTTGGCGAACTACGAGCAAGCCTAACAAACAATTGCGTAATTTTACATTGTTGTTGCTACCCATTGGACATTGACACGCAGTTGGAATATTAATATATAATTTTACATGTATGGCTCATCACAATTTTAGGTCTTCCAAAAGTGTGAGGCAGAGACCAAACTTACGTCAAAAACAATTTCAAAAAATCGAAAATACTTGTATAATATTTTAGTCGACCCAGAAATCAAGTTTAAAATCTTCGGTCGCATTTTCAGCCACTCGACCAACAATTTTAATCCGTATCATACTGTCTGGTAAATTGTAACCGCATATTATATCGATATTCATAACACTGTAAGCTCGGAGGATGAGCCTGTTATCTTCATCCTATACTAAATCATGAAACTATGTATGTACGTAACGTATCTATGTCTAACTAGAATAGAGCTTTGAAGATTATCTTGGACGTTGACAATTTACAAAGCCTACTTCACTGTCCATATAGCGAGTGTCTTTGGTACCAATTAGGTAAGTTATTGGCTATCAGGCCTATTAGTATTTATGATTGGGTTAAATGTTGTCTTCACACATTACGTAATATTGAGCCTATACTGTTAGCTTGTCGCGGAGAACCTAACGGGTTACCGGGGCTCCAGCTCAACGTGCAGGAGAAGGAACAGGGTGGTTTTTAATCAGTAAGAGTCTGACACTCCCTTCCGCCTCACCCAGGCGGGAGCAGCCATATGATGATTTTTCCCTCTTAAAAAATACTGTTAGTTTATTTATGTGGATAATTATTTATTTACTTTATGTTTTATGTGCTAACATTGCCGTGAAAATGACAATGGATAATCTGTAGAAACATTGCGCTTAATGCGCATAATTCCAAATTGCGTACTGGTCAGGGAGGACCAATATATTTAACAACACAGAGTAGGTAATGTTAGAATTTGTCACTGTTTAGTCACTATGAATTAGTCAATAAAATAGCGGCATCTAATACATTTATACAGTATCTATTACATTTAAAAATAAAAGTAAAAGTGGCAAAATATGAAGTTGTATTATAAATTGAACACTGCACCTGACCACTTATTGTTTCTGCATCAATGTTCAAACCATCGAAGTTGTCGTCAATTACCTATTGTTGGACCTTATGGCTTAAGTTCGTGACTCCGACTCCATCAAGAGAGAATTGTTTGAGCACAAAACGGTGAACAAAGTACCACAGCGAACGGACTCCAACAAAATGTATTAAATAGACAATAAAAGAAGAAATTGATGCACCCTTATCTTTGTTTGTACCAACAGCATGACTGTTACAATACCTACGAGTACCTACGTGAAATTTATCAAACTTTCACTATAACGTGGTCATTGATAACTGTACAGTTAAGTTGTGACCTGTGATAAAAAGGGCCTATAAATATGTGGTGCAACTAGTGCATTGTCACTGGCGAACATGGCTCGATTGGCGTTGTGTGTACTGGCTCTCCTGGTGGCCGGGACTCTCTCGAGTACCGAAAGGTCCAATGTCTCACCTAAACTTGGTAAGTCTTTTAATCGTAATTCACAACTAAGTTCCATGTAGATGGGACATCACGTAGTAGCCAACTTCTGGACAGGACCTGTGAGAATAGGTCCTTAAATAATATTTTTATTTTTACTACCTTTGTGTTGATGTGTTAAAAGTATGGATTTAGCCAAATTTAGATTAGATGGGTTAACTCAATAATATTTTTAATATTACGAAAATAAATAGATACCTGTGAGGGTTCATTGATTGGCAATTTTTCTTTTTTATAATAAGACACTTTCTGGTTTGGATCCTTAGCTAAATATTTGTAGCCAATTTAACGGCGAAACCGAATCCGATTATGATAATGAGAGAAAAATTGGTATTAGGTATAAGCTATAACGGTTTTCTTAAAAATAAATATTTAATGGTTTTTACATTTTGTGAAAATGAGAAGTATTTTCATTTACTTGGTTTATACAACAAGTGAAATTAACAAATCCAAGCCATTATTTGAGAATATCGAAATAAATACTGTCGTATTTTTATAAATGTGTGTGTCTTTTTGTTTCCATCTTAATTATGTTTATTAACTTCATAGTGGACCCAGTCTTCGTGCAACGCCAAGTGGATTTGATGATCTTGTTTTTCCATCTCCACGAACCTAATCATCCCGAATCTTGGAAGCAAATTAGTAACACCTGGAGTCTTGAGAAGAACATTGAACACTTTAGCGTAAGTAAACTACACATTGACAAAAAGGTGATATTAATAGAAGTTGAATATTTTTTTTATTTATTTATGATTGGTTTCAGAATGTAACTGCTGTGAACACTTACCTAGAAATGTTGGAGCACAAATGGGTACTTCCTCGTGCTGTACCTTTCTCCGTTCTTGAAAGCGAGCACAAGTTTGAAGCAGTCACTCTATACAACATATTGTACTCTGCCAAGGACTATGATTCGTTCTACAAGGCTGCCGTATACCTCAGGGAACGTGTCAACGAAAATCTTTTCGCTTACGTACTCGGAGTTGTGATTTTGAACCGCCCTGATACCCAAGGGATTTACATTCCTCGTCTGCATGAGGTCTTCCCATCCTACTACTTTAATGGAGAAATCCTTACGACGGCACAAAGGATAAACACACATGGACACCGTTTGATTGAATCCTACCCTTCTACCTACAAATGGGACAACAACGTGGTCATTAGATGGAATGATACTATTTGGCCTTACTCCAATAGCTACGTCTCCCCCGTTGGCTACTTTACTAATGACATTGGCCTTAACACATATTACTACAACTACCATCTTGCTCAACCCAGTTGGCTGCGTAGCAAAGTTCTTCCATTAAACAAAGGACGACGTGGAGAATGGGTCTGGTTCGTACACCAGCAAATGCTTGCTCGTTATTATATGGAAAGATTGTCCAACGGTCTCGGTGAGATCCCTGAACTTGGACACGAAATTGTTAAGGAAGGGTACAATCCAGGTCTTTTGTATCACAATGGCATTGCATTCCCAGTGAGACCCGATTACTACCACCTAGACCAACCTCTATTAGTTCATGCTCTGCAAAAAATTGACGATTATGAACGTCGTGTTCGTGATGCTATCGAACAGGGTTATGTACTTAACGTAAGTAATTAGCGTAGCTTAAGTATTTATGCCACACATACAGTTAACTTGTTTAACATTTTAAATTTATCAAAATTTTTTTTCTTATATAGCATCGTGGTGAACATATTGACATTAGCTCTCCTGAGGGTATCGAAATTCTGGGCAATGTAATTGCAGCCAACGCCGATTCTCCAAATCTCAAATATTACAATGATTTCATCGGCCTTTGGAAAAAAGTTTTAGGAAATTCTATTGTCCACGAACATCAGTATCACCACCAGTGAGTATTAATAATAATTTAATGTTTTGTTTGTGAAAAATTAATGTTCCTGTTTCTTATTTAAACTATACTTTCAGCGTCGTTCCTTTGGTTGTTCCTTCTGCACTGGAGCACTACCAAACTGCTCTGCGTGACCCTGCTTTCTACATGATCTGGAAGCGAGTCTTGGGACTGTTCCAGTTGTGGCAAGAGAAACTTCCGCCATACAAGCGTGAAGAGCTTGCTCTGCCCCAAGTGGCTATTCAGAAGGTTGACGTTGATAAACTGGTGTCTTTCTTCGAGTATAGCTATTGGAACGTTTCTGCTTTCTTGCATATGAACGAAGAAGAAGGTATTTGTGTTTTCTATTCTCAATCTATTGTTACTGACACCTATTAGGTAGGACTCATAACATAAATAGTGAAAAGTGGGTGTTACATTGTACAGTGGCATTAAGTGCCGTATTGTGCATCACTGCCTACCTTTTCCATGTCTTGACTGCCTCGTTGGCCGAGTGGTCGCAAGTGCGACTGCCGGGCAAGGGGTCTCGGGTTCGATTCCCGGGTCGGGCAAAGTATTACTGGGTTTTTAAAAATTGTCAGTAGTAGCACGGAGTCTGGAATTGTGCCCGGTATATGGCAATAGGCTCACCCCCTATTACATGGGACTCATAACATAAATAGTGAAAAGTGGGTGTTACATTGTACAGTGGCATAATGTGCACCTCTGCCTACCCCTTCGGGGATAAAAGGCGTGATGTTATGTGCCTACCTTTTCTATATATTACAATCTATTGTCAATATATTCAGTTCTCTGTTTTTATAATTTATACGTTTTACAGCCAAGGAATTCTACGACCAAGAGAGCGTGTTGGTACAATACCCAAGGTTGAACCACAAGAAATTCCAAGTACGTGTACATGTAAAGAGTGAAGTTGCCAAGAGCGTTCTTGTCAAGTTCTTCTTGGCGCCCAAATATGATAGCCACGGCTTTGAAATACCTCTCCACGTCAATTCTCAAAACTTCTTGCAATTTGACGAGTTCGTGTATGACTGTAAGTTTACTTATAAATATATTTACTTGTCTATTGTTAATCACAGAATTTAACACATAGATGTCTTGAGATATTTTTTATAAACACATTTGTGGCATCATCCATACCTGTGTTTATTAAGTATTGGTTTGTTAACTTTTCAGTACCCGCTGGAGAATCGGTAATTGCTCGCGACTCTATTGATACCAGCAAAGTTTGGGACTCCGCCAACAATGTCTACAATGCCTTTGAAAAATCCCTCCACGGCGACAAACAATTCAACATGGAACAGGTTGAGAATATGGAGACGCTGGTCCAACACCTTGTACTACCTAAGGGTATGAGATTTTCAATTCGACCAAACAGAATATTTTTTATAAATCGTAGGAAATAATATTAACAGATGTTTAGATATCTGTTTGAGCTGTTCTGATGAGTTATTATTTTCACAGGACGCGTTGGTGGCATGCCTTTCGTTTTGATGGTCTACATTTCCGAGTACCACGCACCCAAGGTTCATCACGAGCCAAGCAATCTTTCCAAGATGCCTCTTGGCCTTACGGTCATTGTTGGTCAACTGACCGATGATCCACTTGGCTTCCCAGTCAACAGGCCTCTCTACCCCTGGCAAGTGAAAGGTGTCAAGAACTTGTACTTCCAGGATGTACTGGTCCATCATAAACATACTCCTGAGATTGTAGTCCCCCACACGGAATAAGCTATTTAGTTGAATTGACATCAAACGTTATAGATTGTATCTTTCTTAAAATATATGTACTTGCTGGTACAGATTTATGTTTTTATCTCAGGGCAATAAGCTCGATAATACCTTACATCTTGCTCTATGTAAACGATTATATGCTTTGGCGTCAAATATTTAAGATATACTATTCTATCTATTTATGTAGTATAAGTATTTATTGTTGTTATATTTCAAGATACATGTATGTTATATGATAGTTATGTAGTGAAATATAGTATGATGATTAATGTAGTGATGATTAACATTTTATTGCCCACCTAAGATTGATTCTCTTCATTGTCATAGATATTACTTTATATTTAACAATCCTATAGTTTGGAAGCTATAATTCAGTTACTTTTTTAGTCAGCTAGATAGATCTCAGTTCCATAAAAAGTCATAATATGTATGTAATGTCATATTTATTGTTATAATAAAGAATAAAACCAAAAGAGTGATTTTTATTTCCTACTATCATCTCATCAGCTTTAGTGTCTACAATGGTCTAATTGACATTTTGATCCATAGTGACTACTAACCTAAATACCATATATTGTAGAAATTAGAAAAAAAAAACAGAAAGCCTATGAGAGCCCAGTGCTGGACTATGAAGGTTTTCTAGAAAATGGAATTAGCCATAACTTCCAAAAGCTTCCCAACTTTTGCCTGGTTTCTGTCAAATGGATGAGCAATATGATTAGTGATTATGCGTTCTATATGAATCTGCATAGCTATCGAAATGATTTTCAATCCTACTAATATTATAAATGCGAAACATTGTATCTTTGTTTTTCGTTTGTTACTTTTCTACAACAAAACGGCTGAAGAAGCCAAAATTAAATTTGAAACAGGGGTAGATGGTGTATTTATTGGTCTGAAATAACACAGGCTAAGTTTATATCCCACATGACAAAGCAAAGTCGCTAACATAAGCTAGTGTTTAAATTATATTTGCCAAAGATAATATAGAAAACAATACCCTTCTTACAGTGTCCGGTAAAAATATCACATTTTGTTAGTTACAAACAATCTGTTTATTTGTTTGTCTCTATAAATCATGGATTATAGTAACACGCTTTTTATTTAGTAAGTATCCATAGGTAGTGTCTATAAATGACTGTCATTCTATTAATTTATTAGAAATGTTTTTTATTGTTCATTATACATATAGAACTTTGTTTTTGTAATATATTTGTTTTAATACACACTAGTATCTTATTTTATTGGTTCCTTAACTACATCAGCAGTTTACACGTTAATAATAAATATAATTTCTGTATTAATCTCTTGTTTATTGGCGATGAGAGATTTATTAAAAATGTAGGTTTTATAATCTTGTTTATGAATTTTAACATGAAATCGTTATTTTCATTATACCTACCTAAGAAGAGGCAGCGACATAACATTATGTAGCATGCAAACAACATCAAACATCGGGTACTTACTTATGTACTTATAGTTCTAAAATCTACGATCCTGTGGAATCAAAATTATTGTATGAAAAGAGGTGTCGTGTTCGTTTTCTGGGTTAGAAAAGGCTACAAGTGGTGTTTTGAATTTTAAAATTCACAGTAAAAGCTCATTAACAATACTCCAATATTATTTAATTTTAATTATGTTATACTAAAAAATAGTCCCTATATTGCCATCCTTATAACATGCATGAAATACAAGTAGCTCTATCTAGTTTTGAACACTGAAAATATTCGTTTAATATTTAAGTACAGCGCCATCTGTGACTCTAAGTAGATATTACGCGAAGATTGGTAATTCCACTAAAGTTCACTAGATGTCACTACATAGCATGTTACAAAAGTACGGACTAAGTTACTTCAATTTAACAAAATATGAATTAACACTACCTGCTAGCTTTAACTATTTATAAAACTACATTCTCACTTTCAAAATAAATTCGATAAAGCGCTTTGAACACAGACTTTGTTCCAACCATAAGGAACACGACAATAAAAGAAAGTAATTGACTAAAGTTTTATATTTAATCAAAAGTTATAATAATACCTGCACATTAAATGCAACACATAGTCAGATGGGTTTCTCCTGGATATGATACAAAATATGTTTAGGGTCTCAGCTCTGCAATTCCTTTGGAAAATTATTAAATTAAGTAGGTACGATTTTATGCGTAGGAAAAATCTGTGAAGTGCTGCTGCCAGCGCATCAAGCTCTACCAAATTTTATCAATAGATTGGAGACCTTATTGTTCAATGATAGAATCTACATTTTAAATGAACACCTAGCTTCACTGACGGACTGTCTGACGGACTATTATTTATTTGTTACTATTTTATTGTATTTGTCGACGTTTCAAAAGTACGATTGGTTATGGTTTAATTGAAATAAATGCTTTGACTTTGACTTTGATAAGGTCTAAGTTGAAAAGATATAAGGAACGAGATTGGTAACGCCCACACTCTATGATAATCAAAAATATAGGTACTGGCTTCATCAGATAAATTTATAAAAATGCAGATTTAGAAATCAGAGAAACAAAATGGTACATTTCGTTTTGTTTCTCATATACAACACATCCCAATTCCGTCACAATCACATTAGATAATCACTTCTACTTAAGGTCTAGTCATCAATTTATGCAAGATAGCTTCTGCTGGCGGCTTTTCCCGCGTTCCCGGGGGTAAAAAGTAACCTATGTATAACTCCAGACCCTAATCTACCTCTGTTTCTAATTCCATCCCGATACCTATCACAAACTGGGCAAGAAAAGATGCTGTTCACCACGTCAATATTAAGTATACGACTTGAATGTAACCAAAAACACCAACTCTAACACTTTCATATTAGACGGTCTGTAAAACACTAGATCATTGATTTAAAATCACTAGATCGATCTAAGCTTTAGACAGAAACCCAATTATTTTTTTTTTTTTTTTTTTTTTAATCTCATTTATTGTAAGGATTTTTGTACACATTATGTGACGATGTCAATCCCATCGTGCTTCTACATAACAAATGTATTTACAACTTAAACAAAATAACTTAGTCTACTTATCTATCTAATATAAAGGAATATATAATTTTCGCAGCTTCAGATGTAGGCTTACCTAAAATACCATTAAACATTCCAACATCCATTGCTGACAGTTTCATGGAGTTGAGAAGTGTATTTCTCTTATTTGTATGTCGGACACATTCCACCAACACATGCTGCACGTCTTCTATTCTGCCACATATCTCACAATTAGGGGAGTCTGATTTTCGCATGAGGTGAGCAAAGTGGTTTAGTGGAATGTGTCCTGACCGTAATCGAAGTGCAGCGACAATTTGTCTTCTATTCAATTTTGACCCGGTAAACCAAGGTATATGAGGAGGCTCACATTGTATACTTTTATACCAAATCCCTTTTGTTTCGATCTTTCGTTGAAATGTTCCTTCCAAAATGAGTTGTTTAATTTTCTGAATTTGCTTAAAATTTCCGTATAGCTTGGCAATAAATCCCGTATTTGTGTACCGCCCTGAATTGCATTTTTAGCTAGTCTGTCAGCCTCCTCATTACCCAAAAGTCCGACATGAGACGGAATCCACTGGATAACGATATTTCTATCAACCTGGTTAAAGTGCTGAATTTGTCTTAAGATTTGTATGCCGTGGCTAAACCCTTTGATCCATTATGAATGCATTTTAAAATATGCTGTAACGCGCTTTTACTGTCCGTACACATCACAACATTTTTCACATTTAGTTCTAATGCATACTTCAAAGCCTCGGAAATGGCAAATAGTTCAGCACCCATGACAGAAATATAGCCATTCAGTTTATACATTTTATGAAATTTATTTGCCAAATCACAAAAAGCTGCTCCCACCCCGTCTGATGTTTTCGATCCATCTGTGTATATAACGTGCCAGCCACTATATCTTTCACGCAATTCATTGAGGGTATTATATTTTAAAGAATTAATTTCATACTTTGATTTCGGAGCTGTGACACAGAGTAAGTTACATTGAATAACATCCCTTATATTTATGTTAGACATCCAAGTATCTAAAGTAAACATCAAAATAGGGCAGGAAGACGAAATCTCCTCATCTTTTATAATGTTGTATGAAGTAACTAGCAACGGTTTCCTCTTCCTGGTCCAGTACCTATTTTCAATTATGTTATTGAGATCTTTAATCAAGTTAGTGGACAAGTCATTTGTCCTGGATTGCAATTTTAAACAAAATTTTAAAGAAATATACTGTCTTCTTATTTGTAGAGGAGGAATACTCAACTCACTCTCCATTACATGTATTGGAGTGGACTTGATAAAACCGCCGATTGTTCTTAAAGCAATATTTTGTAATTTATCTAATTTATAAGTGTGACTAACTGCAGAGCTATCGTATAAAAAAGAACCATAATCAATTCTACTCCTAATAAGAGCCAAGTATAGTCTACGCATATGTGAAGGATGTACGCCCCATGACGATCCCGCTAACACTTTAAGTAACTGAATATTTTTCTGTGAAGTCTCATTTACTTCGTTAATATGCTTTCCCCACCTCAAGCATTTATCAAGCCACATTCCTAAATATTTAACATGATCAACTACTTCCAAAGTGTTATTGTTAACTTTAATATCAACTGAGAACCTTTTATGTCCTCTAGAAAATACACATATTTTAGATTTATTATTTGATAATTCTAAGCCCAGTAAGCGTATTGATGACATAAAAAGATCTAGCGCGTGCTGTATATTATTTATACTATCTAGTATTTTAGTATTACTACAATATATTACAAAGTCGTCGGCGTATTGACTGTAATTTATATTATTCATATTTTGAAAAATAGTAGCCGTAACTATATTAAATAGGAGGGGGGATAAGGGATCACCCTGTGCAATTCCTTTACCAGTCCACCTTACATGTTGCTCCTCACCTTCGTCAGCGTTTATGATTAGATGTCTTTCTTTTAAAAAGTTCCAAATATAAGAAGATATACAATAGCCAACTTTA